CCCTCGAGGTGCTTTCGTTAGTGGCTCCCCGTGAGGTGGTCTCCCCTATGAAAGTTGCCCTTCAGCCCTCCCTCGTCCTTCATCTTCATCAGTCTCATCGTTACACAGATGACAGACAGATCCCGTCCTCAGGCCCGTTGCAACTTTCCCGTCCATCCGCAGAGCTTCTTCCTCTTTGCATCCACGCAGCCGGGCTTGTAAATGTCTCGTTTCGTTTTGGATGCTGTGTGGTGTCTTGGTAATTTCGCGAAGCGCTTTTCGTCCATCCTCTTCGTGGACATATCCCGTTGGGTCGCAGCCAAGGAAAGGTACCTTTTTGGTGTCAACCCTGCTGAGAAATACCTAACTTTAGCTTACCTTCCTAGCTGGCAGCAAATAGGTAGGTATCTCTCCTCTCCTCTCCGCTCTATTACGCTAAACCCAGGCGAGGTACCTCGTAAGTACTCCCTCAATTCGCACCTGCACCTCAGTCTCTGAATACACAATAGGGCACTCCACTGCGACTCCAACGTACTTCGTACCCACCCTGAACCTGATCCTAGCAGCTCGACATCCCAGCTCCTTCCGCGGCTCCACCCTCAGCGGCCGGTCTTCTTTCTGCTCGCCCTTCTCAGCCCATTCCATTCCACTCAGTCACCCTCCGCTACAACCGACACCAAGACAATCCCTCGTCTGTCGGCCAAACTATTCTCTTTTGTGACGAATCTTCCAATCCAAATTTTGTTCTGTCCTCCACGCTCATTTCGACTGTCGGCGCATTTTGGCTCCCCTCAATCCCACAGCCATTCTCGCCTATCAACCCCCCCGAGTACCGTTTGCAAGTCACCGCAAATCCCTGCTGCTGCCGACGAAAAGCAAAACGAAACGCATCTTTGGGGAAATTGCGGATACCCAGTCAACCGCCGCGACTTTTCCTCCTGGGCGACCGCGTGCCAAGCAACTCTTCGAGGAAGACTTGACACCAGCCAAGTCTGTCCCACGACAACACCACCGCGACGCATCGAAAGTAGGATCCCGATAATCACCATAACAGACGATGAAGGCCGCCCAGACACTGCCAGACTCCTCGTTATAGTCTGTTCAAAATGGGCGTCAGGGTCGCCATTCGAGAACAGCTCGCCTTCCTTGTGGTGATTGCCGTTCTCGTTGCTTTAATGATCCTCTCCGTCCCCGTCTGGATCTACGTCAATCAGTTTGTCACCCAGGTCGAAGGGCGCGAACTCGCCCTTACTGCTTCGCTCAAGGCCTCACGCATTTCTGCCGAGCTCGAACTCGTCCAGACAAGCATCATCACCATTTCTTCCCGAATCCTGATTCAGGATTCCTTGTTCACCTTCTACGATGGAAACACCACAGACGGAAATTGGGTTCAAGCCAAAGGCGATCTTAACAGTGCGCTCAGCGTCGGCGGTCTCACGGGTCTATTGCAAGGGAGAATCTATTCGCGGAACATCACTGGCAACGGCTATGGTCTACTCAACGTTACTGGAGAAAAGGTTCCTGAAATCCCTTTGCCATATCCTGGCGCCAATGGCTCCAAAATTTTCCTTTCCGATACCGCCGAGGGCTACCCGCCAGCCCTCTACCCGAACATTACCTACGAAGATCTAGGCCGTCAGAATCAGTATAGGAACAATACTCGGGCTTATGCAGCCAACGCGTTCGACGGAGTTAGGATTTCCACAAATGGTGGCCTGCTACTTGGCCCTTTGATTCTCAATGAGACGACTGCCCTCATCTCCATAACCGTGCCGATTCGCTACAACCAACAGCAGGAATTCATTTTAGGGTACATGACGCTTGTCGCCACGGCGAATTCTCTTATCAGCATCCGCAATTCTCGCGAGGGTTTAGGGGATACTGGACTGGTGCTGCTCGTCGGGCCTACTGAGAAGTCGAACAGGTTCAATTCCAGTAATGCGGTCAGCAACAGTACCTACAAACCACCTACTGACGCACTCAATAACGTGCCGGTGAACTTTGTCCTTCCACCCAACCCTCTATCTGGGCAGGGTGACCGGCACGATGAGAGAAGCTGGTCAGCGGGCAAGGACGACGACCCTTTCCCAATGAAGGATTATCCGGCAGTTCTCGCCTCCTTTAGCAAGCAGATCGCGGCACCGAACAACTCAAGCTCGATGCTTTCTACGAACAACGAACAGGGTCTTCCGGTGGCTGTGGGTTTTGCAAGAACCAACACCGCACTCGTTAACTGGACTGTGGTCGTGGAACAAGCCAAGTCAGAGGCCGACGCTCCTATTGAGACATTGCGGAATATTATTCTGGGATGCGTTTTCGGCACCGCAGGCCTCATCATAATCATCATCTTTCCTTGCGCGCATCTTAGCGTGATGCCCATCAGGAGACTCAAGTCGGCGACGGAGAAATCGATCCAGCCACCGGGATATGAGGATGGATATTATTCCGAATTCGACGGCGACGAAACTCCTGGATCGGGTGGAATTTCATCACGAACACAACGTTCTAAAAAGGATGGCATCATCACCAGTATCTTCAAGCTGGTAGGGTACAAGCCCAAGGAGAAACCCGCCTCAGAGCACGATCGCGATTCGACCCGACGCATTTTCAAAATCCCCGGCAAGGTCACTGACCGGAAACATTTCATCACCGACGAATTGACCGAGCTGACGGAGACCTTTAACGATATGAGTGACGAGCTGGTCAAACAGTACCTTTCCCTGGATCAAAAAGTCTTGGAACGGACCCGTGAGCTTGAAATCAGCAAGAAAGCTGCCGAAGCCGCCAACGAAAGCAAGACGCTCTTCATCGCAAACATTTCACACGAACTGAAGACACCCCTTAATGGTATCCTTGGCATGTGTGCCGTGTGTATGGAGGAGAGCGATATTCTCAGGATAAAGCAGTCGCTCAAGACACTTTACAAGTCAGGTAAATGCGATCTGGCTTGCTCGTCGCTCTATACCTTGCTAACCACTTTTAGGCGACTTGCTACTCCATTTACTCGAGGATCTCCTCAGCTTTTCCAAGAACCAGATTGGGCAACAACTGAATCTGGAAGAGAAGGAATTCCGCCTTGCCGACATTAGATCTCAAATCTTGACCATCTTTGACAAACAAGTCAAAGAAGGCCGAATTACCTTGACTGTTAACTTCCTCGGCTCTGAAGCGATCGAACTGAGCAGTAGCCCGGAAAGAACCAGCACCGACAACAGACTACCGGCTCTTGGACCGCATGGAACCGGTAGACTGAAGGATATGTGTCTATGGGGTGACCAGCATCGCATTCTCCAGGTCATCATCAACCTAGTCAGCAACAGTGTCAAGTTTACGCCAGCAGGCGGCCGGGTTGATGTCCGCATCAAGTGTATCGGCGAGGTGGAAACTCCACCAGCAAATGATGGCAGTCGGTCGTCATCGTTCTCGAGGGAATCTAGACGACAGGGCAGAGGCCGACACCGAACGAACAACAGCTCGAATCCATCTGTGAGCTCTAGGGGAGGCTCGACTTCTGAACCCGTCAAGGGCACTGCTTTAAGCATTAACCCGATGGAGCCCAAGTCAACACCTCACATTCAGGTTCGGGAGCGATCTCCTACGCCGCCACCACCTGGTGCAAAGGCCTTTATATTCGAGTTCGAAGTGGAAGACACTGGCCCGGGTATTGCTGAACACATGCAGCAGAAGGTCTTTGAACCCTTTGTTCAAGGCGACCTAGGGTTGAGCAAGAAGTTTGGCGGAACAGGCCTGGGATTGAGTATCTGCCACCAACTTGCAAGTCTGATGGGTGGATCTATTTCGCTGAAAAGCACTGTCGGGGTTGGCACGACGTTCACTATGCAAATTCCCTTGAAATATGTCAAGGACAGGTATGTCTAGATGATTGTGAAGCAATGCGGCTCATGTACTGACGAGATCTTACAGGGCCTCCAGCACCGCTTCTAGCAGCATCAAGTCTCGGCCTCCAAGTGTCGATGCCATCGAAGGCATCGACAGTGTTCAAAACGCGAAGCGCAACTCCGGCGGGGCCCCCGTCAGCCCACCTATCAAGCCAGCCGGAGAAACAACTGCAAAGAACCTACTTGATCAACAACCAAGACTAGTCGGCCTCAGCCAGCCTTTCTTCGCGTCGAACCCAGCGCCTAAAGCCAAGCGGAACACAAAACAGCAGCAAATGGCAGCCATCGATCGGGCAATGGCTACGAAGGCCAATAAGGAAGGAAAGCTCCGGGTGCTCGTTGCGGACGACAATTCGACAAATATTGAGGTTGTCAGCAAAATGTTGAAGCTTGAGGACGTCTACGATGTCACCATCGCCAAGGACGGCCAGGAAGCGTACGACCTAGTCAAGGCGAATATGGATAAAAATCAAGGATTCGACGTAATCTTTATGGACATTCAGATGCCCAATCTCGATGGCCTGCAATCGACAAAACTCATCCGCAAGATGGGTTACAAAGCTCCTATCGTGGCATTGACCGCCTTCTCAGAAGAAAGCAACGTCAAAGAATGCATGGAGAGTGGCATGGACGAGTTCCTGAGTAAGCCCATTAGACGGCCTGCGCTTAAGCAGGTCCTCAAGAAGTTTGCGACGATTCCGGAAGAGCCCGAAACAGCGAGCTTGTCAAGGAAAACGACACCAGAGAAGCCTACGACGACAAAGCCAGCAGCTGCTAACGGCAGTGGGCCAGCAGTTGCGCCGGAGATGAACGAGAAAGGGGATGCGATCCACCCGGTTGGGAATGGAGCCGCGGCTGCGCCCTCATCCGAACAACCCCTATCGGAGAAGGGGATATAATTGACGTTTAATGACTTTTCAGCAGCAGGCAGAGAAATACTCGGTTTTGAGACGCCTGACAGCACATGTTCGCATAGGATTCACCCTTTTCCCTTCGTTTGGAAGCGACATACAAAAGTTGGCGTCAGGGCGTTGGTTTTTGTTTTTGATCTTTTCACATTCCCTTTTGTGTACGTATTCGTAATGACCCTGCTCGGTCTTCGAGGCACCGAAGTAGGGCTGCTCAGGCTAGGCTTGGGCATGTGTCAACATTCTCTTTTGGGAACGAAAACGGGTTGGGTTGGTACACTGTGACCAGGTAGTAGGGGTTTGGTCCCCTGAAGAAAGGGAGCGGGCATACATTCGTTGCTAGCAAGCATAGCGATACATCAGAGAGAGGAGGCAGCGACCCATACGGAGGGTTTTTTTTTTTATTTCTTTTCAACTTGTCATATGGGCGGCGTTCCGGGCGTACACGAAGATATCCGGACACGCATAGGGCTTCTCCCCCCCC